CTATTATTTCAGATGGTAAGCTGTTCCACGCATTTACAACTCGATTTTGGAAAAAATGATACCTGAAGGTATTTCTGCTAAAAGGCTTCCTCATTTTGAATTTGTGTTGTCGCAGACATGGACCCTCCTCCAATGCATTTCCACAATCGTTAGCAACCCAATTTATTTTATCGTGGCCATGCTGAATTTTATATTGTTGAATCAGATCTCCACGTAGTCTACGTGACGTTAATTGCATAATGACGTTAATTGCATAATATTCAACCAGTGACGTTAATTGCATAATATTCAAACTAGCCTCATATGATAATTTCCTAATTGTAGGTGCTAGTTTGATTGCTCTTTTTTGGATTTTCTCAATCTTGTCAATGTCTTGTTTTAAAAATAGAGACCATGCCTGGACCGCAAACTCAAGATGTGGACGTATGAACGTTGTATAGAGCATTTTTACCATGTTTACATCTAAATATTTAAAGCTTCTCTTTATGGTACCTAATATATATATACAAAGGAATCCGAAATATTTTTTACCAAAAAATAAAATATTCCGTACTAGTAACACCATTTGTGCAATCTAAGAAACTGATAAATTCTCTTATTGAACTTTGAACCAACAAACCATATAATTAAAAGTAGTTGTTCTTTACTTTTATTGTGAGAAGTTTCATCAGAAAAATGTTTAAAACGTTTAAACTATTTTGTTATTAACTTCTCTGAAACACTTTTTTTACCAGATATTATGGTGTAAGAAGCGTTTTTTGTTGATAATATCTAAGCTGATCTTGAAGAATTTTATCACCAGCATAAACACGGACATGTTGCAAACACGATTTATTAAGAAAACTTCCTATATCTTATAATCGAAGCATTTTAAATATCACAATAAACGTTAAATATTTCAGGGTGAAAGTAGAAAGGTACGTCCGACAGTGTTTTTTCATAAATAAAGTCGATTACTTAAAATTTAAGTATTGAAAACTAAACTAAATAAAAATTTCAATCACAGAAAAAAATAATGTTAAGTACGTCTTAGTATTTTACCTCCTGATTATCGCTAAACAATGGATTTTAACTAAGATTTTACTTAGGGTGTACTGCTTTGGGTACGTCCATAAATTGTTATGAGTAAATAAATTGATATTTTGCTTTTATAACAAAAAAATAAAAATTTAAAAACATTTTTTATCGTTTAACAAAATAATATTGGGTACGTCCATTGACTCTTCTAATTAAATATTATTTATTTATTATTACTTTAACCTCCAGTTAAAAAAGATTTTTTTATTTACCGCTCTAACTTTAATTATTCTAAACAAGAAGCGAAATTTTTTTTTTTTTAATAACTGTATAAAGGTAATAAAACTTAAATTTTATTCACCTAAAATTTTTAGTAATCCATGGACATTGTAAGTATTTTACTTTTAATTCTTGTTCTATTATAGGGAAGTGATTATCATAGTGCTTTAATAATATTTCTATAAATTCATTATAAGCAGAGTTGGTATGCCCAAAGTTGCATTCTTGGTAAATCCTGTCCCACCTCACTGCCGATAGTGAGTCTTTAAACTGTTGAATAGTAAAATTATTATTTTTCGTTTATAGACTTTGATTTTAGAGTTTTTATTTTTTGTATCTTGAAAAAAAGAAAATTATATCGGAAAGTGATCGGATATATCCGTTTTGATTACACCTGCTTTTAATGAAGAATCATAAAATGAATTAGTCAAAATGTTGTCTAATGCAGTGATTGAATTTAATGTTACCCGGCTTGGTTTGTTTACTATAGGAAAAATGAAGTGTTGAAACATGTTGTCAAAAAAAATTTTGGTTACAGCATTTTCATTATATTGTAAACAGTTTATATTTATGTCACCAATACAGAATAATATTTTGTGCTCTTCGTCATTTTTTAGAATTATTTGTTTTAGGTGGTTTGAAAAGTTTTTTATATTAACTTGGGGTGGTCTATAACAGGTGGGCACTATTATATTTTTTAATTTTTTGTTTATTATTTCAATTGTAAAGAAATCACTATCGGCATCAGAAACCGAAAGATCGTCTCTAATTTTAGTTGTCAGATCATTATGAATGTATGTCATAATTCCACCTCCTCGTTTTTGAATTTTTCGCTCATAAAATAATAGTTTGTAGTTTGGAATTATTAGGTTTGAGTTTATTCTAGATGATTCGTCAGAACACCAAGTTTCTGTTAAGCAAATCATGCTGAACAAATAATTACATTCTATAAGAAAATGCTTTAGTTTGTCAATATTGTTAATTAAACTTCTTATATTTATGTGTATCACTGTAAAGTTATTATTTAATGATTTTAATTCATTTTTAAAAGTTTCTAATTGAAAAATCCGCGAGTTAAATTTATTTTCATTAAAAAAATGCAAATCTGGATCGTATGAGTTATTAAGAAAAAACTTATTAGCCGTTTTGAAAACATTAAAGTGTTGCGTTTCGTAATCTATTGCTTGTTTAGTCTTTAGTTGAGAGAATTAAACTAACGTAAAAAATTTTTCTTAATTACACGCAAAAATTTTCTTACTTCCTAAATTCTTGACAAAAAACTTTATTAAATTTAATTGTTGCGTATTTACCTTGGTTGCGATGATTTTTGACTTCTTCCCAAAGTTTCTTACTCTCTTCCATCGTCTCTTTAGCAAAGTCTTCTTGTATATATATTCCACTTCCTTTTAAGTTTTTAAGTGAACTTAAAATTTTAATTTTATCTTGATAGTTAACAGTTTCACTACAATAGTTCTTAGTGTTTTGTCTTCTTTATACTATCCAATTCGATGCGCTCGTTCCACAGTAATTTCAGTTGAAATTTTAGGGTTACTAGTAAATATTTTTTTCACAGCTTTCTCACATTCGCTCCAACTTTCTCCTGGTGAATTTTTCAGACCATCGACTCTAATGTTGTTACGACGAGAGCGGTTTTCTAAGTCAGTATTTTTTTTATTTATAATTATAATTTCAAGATCATATTTCTTCCTTATTTGTGTTAACTCCTCCTTTATTTTTTCTTCTTGAAAATTAGGACATTATTTCACATCGTTGAATTATCATCATTATTTCACATTATTATCACTTTATTATTTCACATTATTATCACATTATTATCATTATTTCACATCACAAGTCTTTTTCAATATTGCGCATGTTTACTCTGTTACTATTTGATTCATTTTCTATTTTGTCGAGTCTATTAGTAATAATTTTGATATTTCCACTCACTACATGTGTGAAATTGCTTTCTTGGTCTTTTAACAACCTTTCTGTTTCTTTAAGCAAAGTTCTTTTTTGTTCTTCAAACTTATTGGTAATAATTTTTTCAATATTTGATCGTTATTTCCATTTTTGAATTAATATTTTTGAAGAGCAGTCAAAAACACGTGCGTTCGTGGCAAAAACTTTTTTCAAAAAATAAAAAAAATATATAATAGTAGTTTAATACAAATATGCAAAAGATTGCTTTTTAATGAAAATACCACTTTATTAAGAAATTCTTATTTTAATTATTATTTAACAAAAAGATTTTTATCCATGTTCTTTTCAATAATATTTTTTTGCATTGACATTTTAAATTTTCCGTGTCAAAAAAGTACGATTGGGCAGCAAGAGTAAGTACCGTAATGTATAACTAAATGATTCATTATGATAATCATCAACTTAGTTGCAAACTCTATCTCTTCTTGAGAAAAGTGTTTCCATCAAAAGTAAACATTTCCTTTTGCGATTCACTTTTTTATAAAAATTGCAATAAAACTAGTTAGCTTTTTCTGCCAAACGGTATACTCTTTTTCGAGCATTAAAAATTTTTCCACATTAGGGTATATATCTATAGAATATAGTTAAATTTATGTTGCATAATGTAAAAAAAATATAAAATATTAAACTCATTAAAAGTTACATTAAAAGAGTCTTTTTATTTAGTTTGTTGCACTCTTGCTTGTAATTGTTTCATTGTAATTTTCAAATTTTGTTGTAATTGTTTCATTGCGCTTTTCAAATTTTTTAATTTAACTATTCTTGGAAAGAAAAGAATAGTCTAAACATGACAAACTAAACTTGACAATAAAAAAATTAGAGTCTTAAAAACAAGTTAGAACAAAAAAAAAGGAAATCTACAATAAAGTGAAACATAAAAAGTATATAATTGAGCGCCGCAAATAAAAAGAAAAGAAAACTTTAAAACGTTACTATCGAAAACTGCTACTAGAACAATATCATTTATCAAAGTTATTTTAATTTCCTAATAATTTTTCTTATCAAAACTTTTGTCAAAACACTGGAGAAGTTAGTAGAGAAGATAAACATTTATTTTGTATTTTTAAAAATTCTTTTTGAATATTTTTATTCTGAAAAGATGTTACTTTTAAAACTAAATACTTTAAAACTTGAAAAATTACTTTTTAATGAATAACTTCTTGATTTTTTTTGTAAAAAAGAACAACCTGAAAGAGCTAATGTTTTCTTTAAGATGTTTTCAAAAATTTAGAATTTTAATAACCTTAAAGTCTAGTATTTGATTCAAAACTTTTTAGTTATTTTGCAGTTCATTCAAATTATTTAACCACTTTTCTTTAGAAGGTAATGTTATTTTATTAGTTTTTAATGAATTACTCTCATCCATACTTTTTTTTCACTTGTCATTAGGTATAAATTCAAAATTTAGATAGCAATTATAAAGAATAAAAATTGAAATGTTTTGACTTATAGGTAGTCATTCTCAGTTAAAATGTTACAACCTCAGTTAAAATTTAAGTAATTTATATTGGTAAAACTAGTAGCAAAATCGCTTAAAAAGAAAATGGTTAAAAACAAAACTTTAGTTAATGAAATTTTTCCATAAAATAAATAAAATGAATGAAGTGTAATTAAAGTATTTTTGTAAGATGTATAATTTTAAGACCTAATACATTTTGGATTTTCTGCTTTTTTATAAATATACTTAAAATAAAAACACAGTATTATAACCGTTTTTTTAGATTCTCATGTGAAAATTTGACTCTCAAAGTACGAACAGATGATAGAATTTTTTTAATATGTCCTAAAGCAGACCTTAATACTCTTCAATTAGATCAAACTCCTAACGCTGTTGATCTTTTTGAAAAAATTTATCTACTTAATGAAGATCAGTTTCTAAATTACGAAACATGTAACACCTCTTGTAAGTTACCATTTTATGCTCTGATATTTTGATATATTTTTATGCTTGATTTTATATATTTTTTTTTTGTCGTTGTTGTTGTTTTTTTTAGTTTTTTCATTTTGCAAATTTATGTTGTTCATTTTCATTAAAAGTTTAATTTATATTTATTTAATAAAATTAGTGATTTAGTTTAATTTTGATAATAACGATAGAAACTTTTCTATGCAGAGTTTTATGGTTCTTTTGAATATCTTCATGTATCATACCAACATATGTAAATAAAAAAGTTCAATTTTTAAAGAATCAAAAGGTTGAGTTTTTCAATCTTTTTTTATGTTTAGAGTTTAATTATGCTCAACATAAATGTGCAAATCCAACATGAAATATCAATACTTACATAAAGCTAAACAACTAAAATTGAAAATGTATTTTAAAATTTATAAACAAACAATATGAACATATAAATAGGCTAATGGTCTATAGATACAATTAAATATAGAGTAAAAAATTACAAAGACAGCCATCCATAACTACTATTTGTTTATTTGAATTGATCCTACAGTTCGACAAAAGAGTATTAAAAGATGGGAATCTTAAATCTAAAAACAGAGTGAGTGTACAATATTATTCATTTCCAAAAAATATTTTTGCGCATTTATTGTAGCAATATCGTTGGAGTAAAAACGATAAACAGGGAAGCATTATATAAATATATGTGAAATAAATAGAATAATTTTACTTTGACTAAGCTTAAACATATGTAAAAGCGCCTTATAATCACATTTGTTCGAGAATATAAATTTTTCATCTTTGTGTTAAAAGACTTTTAATAAGGTCATTAACTGCATTTAATAACCTCTACAGAGAGAACTAAAATGGTGCAACAAGTATTACATCATTAACTTAAACAAGAGTATTTAGATTTAGAGTATCTTAAATTCCTCGTATATTGCATCCAATAGGTTTATATGAAATTTTAAATACTTAGTTACTAATGTAAAAGTTAAATTGTAACGATTATAAAATACCGCTTTGTCACACATTTCCACCACATCATTTCCTTCACTAAAAGCAATAGGTTTAGGTTCCGGCCACCTGATACATATTTCTTGGTTGTTCTACCAAAATGAAACCAGACACACGATGTTTTTTGATATTTCTTATTTTAAAAGGTTACCGAATAGAAGCCAATATTTAACGTTTTCAAATGCTTTATTAAAATCTATAAACGATTTAAACGCATGACTTCCTCTAGATGTGTAGTATTTAGTAGTTTTTTTTAAATAACTAGTGCAGTTGTAGAATGCATTTGTTTGAATCCAAACTGAAAATCATCTAAATTGACTAATATATCTATTTTTGTTGCAAAATACTTTTGAATGGCTAGGGATATTGCAGGGTTTACGACGTAAACAGAAGGGGTGAGGGGTGAAGAGGTGAGATATATAATATATATATATATATATATATATATATATATATATATATATATATATATATATATATATATATATATATATATATATATATATATATATATATACATTGCATTTAATCGCTTTTAAAAGTATTTACATATTTCATTTAAAAAGAAACTTTTTTTTATCGTTATATATAACGATAAAAAAAAGTACCTTTTTTAGTGGCGTTCCTAGTTATGGTGTCACCCGGGGCGGCAAATAGGGTGTCACACATATATTATATGTAATTATTTTTATATACGAAATTATTAAAGCAGTATTTAGAAACGTTGACACATGTAATTTTAAACCTAGTTTTCGACAATAATAATTTAGTGTCTATAACTCTCTATAAATAATTCTCGGCTTTAACAGAGAAAATAATTATTTGAAAATAAATTGTTGCCAAATAATTATTATCTCTGTTTTAGACGATAATAAATTATTATCATCTAAAATCGTCTAAAATCAGCTTTATTCTTTTATATGCTTAAAAAAACAGTAGTACCTGGATTTGATTTGATAGTATAGTATAATAATAAAATAGCAAACCTACTGAAAGAAAGAAAGCTCAGCCATTATATTTTTTAAATAATGATAACTATATCTTTCAGCATTCAGCATTTCGTAGGTCGTGTAAATAAACACCCACTTATTTTTTTATGTAAGACTGTCTAATTATAAACCAATATAAAATATAAGATATTAATAAATTGGGTGTCTCCCAAAAGTGGATGACACCCGGGGCGGTGAGCCCCCACCCCTTCCTCCATAGGTACGCCACTGCCTTTTTAAATGAAATATCTAAATTCTATTTTTAAGAATTTTTTTTAACTGAATCGACTGCTTCTTGTTATAAGAAATTCTAATTATCAACCAGGCTACTTTTTAGATAGACCCAAATCCTTTTTTAGTTAATTGTTGATAAATTCCTTAATTGTGACACATGATATACTTTTCTCAAATTTTTTAGGCTCTTTAAATCTGATGTTTACGAAACATTAATCATTTCTGCTAACTCAGATAACACGCAAACGTCTATTAAACGTCAAAACAATGTTTCGACAATCAATCAAATGGTCAATTATCCGTTTAGAATGAAATCTAGGTTAATGATCAGAACAAACGTCCATACAATATCTATATTCAAACGAAATTTAGACGTCTATTATAGGATTATTATACGTATATAAAGCGTTTAGATTTTGTCTAAGTAAATGTATATTAAACTATTAGATCTTGTCAAATTGTTTTCTTATAGTCGGGGTTTAGAGAAAAAATGTTTGCGCACTATACTTGTTTATGCTTCGATAATTAAAAAAATCAAACCATCAAGCTTTTTGCAGTGGAAATTTTATAGAAGCAATTTCTATCAAATAGTTTTTAAATTTAATATCATTAGCAGAAAATAAAAGTTTACATTAAGATTTAAGATTTAGTTAAAGACCACTAATAAAATTATTTAAAAATTATAAACTCATAAACATATATTTTTGATCACTGTTTCTCTGGTTTATTCATTATCAAAAATCTTCCTAGTATATGTCTACCGCATAATTATTATCCTGTTCTTGTGCAACATCATCTGCTACATTCATATCCTTATTGTCTGATTTCGTAACCTGATATGTAACCTCTGATTTCGTAACCTGATTTGTAACATAATTATTATCCTGTTCTTGTGCAACATCATCTGCTACATTCATATCCTTATTGTCTGATTTCGTAACCTGATTTGTAACCTCAAAAAACGAGGGCAAAGTAGTTAGCATTTTAAAACTACATTCATAAATCAAAATTAGAAACACACAGAACAACTTTACACATAGACAACTCTGAATGAAAGTTTTCCAAAATCTTCAGTACCACCCATGTTTGTTTTTGATATTAAAAAATTAGTAACGTTGCGAAATAACATATGCAATGGTTTTTACCATCTCTGTTACCCCAATTTTCTTTAGTATATATAACCAATTTTAGCTGTAATGCATTTAAAGTAAAAAAATAAATATTTAGTTATTAAACCTCTTGATTATTGCAAAGATGAATTTCAACTGTTACACAATACTAGCGTTTACAAAATGAATTTAAACTGTTTATAAAGCTACAAAAAAAGTTCTTACAGCAGGACTTTCATAACGAGAGACCAGCAACTCATTTTTTTAAACTGTGTTAATGTGGCCATCAATAATTTCTAAAACATCGGATTCCATTGATTTGTTGGCATTTAGGAAGGTAGTTTGTTGCAAAAGGAACTTTTATTATTTAAAATAGCGCACCTAAAACTTGACTATTATTTATTTATCAGTCGTTTTGTTTTCAGTTGTTGTTGAATCTTGAAAACGCATTTAAGTCTATTTTAGCTATTTAGCTAATGAAAAATAATTTTTCAGCAATAACAAAAATATTCTTTGTTTAACCGAGTCAAGGTTGTGCCGTTTTAAGTTCCAACATTTATTTTATATATTTAATTAAAACTACTACAACTGATTGTAGGTAGTTACGCTTTTGTAAGTTTTTAACTGTTTTTGATTCATATAACAATCTAATCTTATATTTATTTTATAAATAAAAGCTATATAAACTATTTGCTTATTATATTTAAATAAAGTAATAAATAATTATGTTCACGAGTATTCATGACTTCAATGCAAATACTTATAACATTTAGACATGATATATTACATTGAAATATTCCACCGATGTTACCTGTTATTAGTAGTGGCAAGAATACACAATTCTAAATTTTTGTAATACTATGCGTTTTTGAATATATATATATATATATATATATATATATATATATATAATATATATATATATATATATATATATATATATATATACATATAAATATATATATATATATATACATTTTTGGAGAGGATGATGTAAATTATACTAACATTTTGTGGTGATTATAGTAATGGTAGGCTATCATCATTGGACGTTTTTCCATATGAAGACCACACGGGTAAAACCACAGATGTCACATTTTTCTCATTTTGAGAAAAATGAAATTTTGTGTTTAGAAGTATCAAATACCAGTTTATTTATTATCTATTCATTGCAAAGCATTTTTTTATGACATTATATTCTTAAAAAAATATATAAAAGCAGTCTTTTCGCTACTTACAAGTAATATTTGTTCACAATGTCCATTTGAAGTCAAGACACTCAATTTGGACATCTGCGATTTTTTCGTTGTAAATTCAGCAGCTTGTAAACTACCTTAACTTGATAGCTTTTGGAGTACTTATTTGATTAAAAGTAGATAGGAGTAGATAATAAAATCAAATAACTCATCACATTTATAAAAACTTTTTAAAAAGTTATAGTATTATAGTATTGAAATTTTATAGCCCAGATAAATACCCTGTTCCAAATGAAGCCTTATTAAAAATAAACGTTATTTTTATTTTCAACAAAATATATATATAAACATACAGAAATACATTCTTCTAAATAATTATTATTTTTTGCATTCTCCTACTCTGAGTCAGATATTTGCTCTGGTTCAGAATCCTGGACAAGTAGGTTATCAACTGGCAACTGATC